CATTTTACGAAAACTTCGTCCGCCGGAATTGGCACCTATGCATACAAATGGTTTTCGGGACTTTCACCCTAGACACACAGGCCAACTTAGTTCAATGGAGTCCATCCCCTTTATTCTTCTCAAAACGTAAAGTACATTCTCTTTCTCCTCCCAAATATCATACATATACAATGTATATCATTCATAATCACATTCAATGATAATGGTTAAGGAATTAGTCCCAATTCGCCTAATCGACATGCAATGTCTACAACAATCATGACTATCCTCTACCGATAGTCCAAAGCAGATATTTCTAAACAGATATGCAATCTCTATAACAGGTAAATCATCAAATTTCCATATGTGAGTGATTTAAACAAATCCAACAACACCATTCATCTATACATCCTCCTAATTTCACATTTTTCATACCAATTTCATAATTTATAAAAAATAATTATTCAAGGCATTTTAGGGCAAAGCTCCTCATTTTCCAAATATTAACTCAAAGGCCTAAATCAACTATTTTAATACAAGGTAACCTCATATCCAAACCCCATAATCATTTATATAACACCTATAAAGAAACCCTTCTTTTCAAACTTGAACCCAAACCCTAGGTTTGCTTAAAACACCCCCAAATCTCACCATTTTCACACAACAACCTATAACCAAGTTAAAACCCATATTAAGGGGTAGAGAGTCCCTACCTCAAGTTTAGAAAACTAAACGGAGCAAGGAAGAAACTTTAACGACGCCGAAACCAAACTCTAATCAGATCAAAACGGAGCTCTCAAGATATTCTACCCTTTTCTCAAAGACACTAAGGTGGAGAGATCAACGGATTAAGGAGAAAATGTAGAGAGAGAGAGATAGTGAGAGTATTTTAGAGAGAGAGTGTCTCACTTTAGGGCTTTTGGAAGAAAAGATCTGAAAAAGTGATGTAAAAAGTCATTTTCGCGCTCTGATATACGCGCAGTCCGCTTGAGTGCAAGAGTTGACGCTTGAGCATCAGACATAATAAGTTGTTCCACTTGAGCGCAAGAAGTGACACGCTCGAGTGTAACACACATCCAGTACTTTTGCAGACAACAGACAAACCGCTAAAGCTCAAGAAAGGCCGCTCGAGCGTCCACCCGCTCGAGCGTAAGAAACGCCGCTCCAGCGTAGAAAACACTCTTCTAGTACTTTTGCAGACGTGCAAAGTATTGAGAGTTCGCAAATCCCGCTCGACCTCAAGAAGGGCCGCTCGAGCGGAGGACCAAAAAAGTTGTCATGGGTTCGAATCGCGGGACAATTTGTTATGAAAATATAAACCTCATGAGAACAATTTGTTATGCAAATATAAACCTCAGGGAGCGGGATGTAATTTCTCAAACCTCAAGGGGAATCCGTATTTTAGTCAAACCTCGAGGGGGGTGTTGGTAATTTTCCATTGTACTACAAAAACTATTATTTTGATTAGTGGATATTCATTCTATCTATCTTTGTCTATAATCATGCTTGTGTTATGTCACTTTATTTTCCTATCACATTGTGCTTCACGAAGTATTATTGTTTTTGATGTGTTTCAGAACTATGAAGTTGACTTTATGATTACTTTGCAAAAGATTACCTAGAATTGTCTGTTTGTGGATATCATGGAGTGTTAGGATTTGTCTTTTGTCAAATTGTAATTTGTATAAATTGAGTTGTAATATTTTGTTACAAAAATGCCAAAGGAAGAAATTAAAATAGGATATTTTGTGTTGGCTATTTTTTGCGATCAAAATTGGGATTAAGGATAGTTTACTTGTGTGAGGGGACATCCGATAAAACTTGTGTGAGGGGACATCAGTCGGCGCCATGCAGGTTTGGAAGATTCAATCCTTTACCCATCAAGGTAATGTTTGCATACATATTCTTACAATTTTGTTTTGGAAAACATTTTTCTTCAATAAAAAGGTGTCTCTAAACCCGAATTTGGAGATCTTAGCAATTGGTATCAGAGCGAGGTCATAGGTTTGAGTCCCCCAAGTGTCGCTAGAGGGGAGATTGTTGGTTATGGAGCCAACGATCACCATATAGACTCGCTGTCACGTATGGGTGTGACATTGGTCCTTGACAGCCTATCCGGTTGGCGCTTATAGCGCAGCCCCTCATGCCCACCTACCACTTCATGCGGGTCTTTGCGTTGTCACGCATATGAGGACATAAAGTTACACTTTCACCACTACCTATAAGTTTTGGTGAGATGACAATCGCTTAATCCTAACACTTACTTTCATCAAAGAATCATAATTGTAAAATTATGCATTTTGTAAAGAATGATATGAGCTAGTAAACCAGCTAAGTTAGCCTTCAAAATAAAAAGAGTGATGACACAAGAAAAAGATACAAAAAAAATATTTTCCATTTCGATCTTTCCAAAATTGTTATTTTTATTGCAAGAGACGTGCAAAACCCCTAATAGTAATAATGGCATATTCTTTTCCTTTCATTATTTATTCTTATTCACCCATCAAACCAGTTGTCTAATTCTTATAAGTCTATTTTATATTTTGTATGCGTTGGAATTGTAGCGATGCTTTTAATTATTGCTTCTTTGTGGTTATACAAAGTATAGGGGAAAAAAATAAAATAAAAAATATATAAAAAAAAAGAAAGGAAAAGAAACAACAAGCAGTTGAAGCGAAAAGAAAAATTCTTTAAACGGAATGGTTGGTTATTATTGAAAGAGCAATTGTCTTCATATCCAAGTGATGATAAACCAAATTGTTCAGTTTGAAGGAGTTAGAGAAGGCCACTGATCATTATAATGAGGACCGTATTCCCATATGTAATGTATGCTTTCTCATCAATAAAGTTCTTTTTGCTGATAAAAAATAAATAAATAATTAGGACCGTATTCCTTGGCCAAGAAGGCCAAGGCACTATCTACAAAGGGATGTTGTCAGATGGAAGGATCGTAGCTATTAAAAAGTCTAAGAGAGGTGATGAAGGAAATGTTGGACAATTTATTAATGAAGTTTCCATTCTTTTACAAATCAACAACCGGAGGAATATAGTGAAGCTCCTCTTGTTGCTATAAAAATAGCACTTTTTAGTGAAACTATAATTTCCATAAGTTTGATTGGCTCTCTTAGGTCCATTTTATTTGGTAGATTTTTCTTTGATTTTTAAACTTAGGGGAGCTTGGAGCTTAAAACAAGCTCCAACCTCCAAGTTGGTGAGAAACCAACGAGCCAACAAAACAAAGGAAAAAGAAACAAGGAAACCAAAACAGAACAGATAGCCCACATTTGAAGCACCAATATCACCAAAACCAGAGCAGACAGCACAGCCCACAGTTGAAGCACCAATCAGATGAGAACCTGCAGTTAGTTAGGCACCAAGACAGAACAGATAGCCATGAAGTACAACGGCCCAAATTACCCACAAAAGCTTTAAACCAACATTGCAGCAGGATAGAACAGAAACAGCAGCATTCCTACAAACTGATTAAATACAGCAGCATCAGCAGTTCACCCACCAAGATTGTTAGCCCAACACATCTGCAGTTCACTACTACGGCCCTACAAAACAGATCATCCTCTGCATCAGTTGCACCAAAACAGAATCACTCAGAAACAGCAGTACACAGGTTATAACCTCAGTGCATTAGGCAGAATCACTCAGAAACAGCAGTACACAGGTTCTGCCTTGCTGCCCCTTTATATTTATATTTGTTGTTGTTGTTGATGATTGTTGTGTGTTGAAGAACAGATCATGAATTTTACAGAATTTTTTTTGTGTGTTGATGATTGTTGTGTGTTGAACCCTCCATTCTACAGAATTTTTTTTTTTTTTTGGTTGTGTGTTGAACAGATCTGCCGGGGATGTTTCGGGGTCGAGGAAACCCGATCTCCGTTAGGGGACGGGGGCGGGGACGGGGATTTTTCTATCTTCGGGGATCGGGGACGGGGAGTGTCATCCCGGCCCCGGCTCGGCTCGTTGCCATTCCTAAAAGACATTGACACTTGTGTAGGGACCAAAAGGGGATTTGAGCAAAAATACAGGGGGTTGACTGTCAAGATTTCATGTGCATGGATCAAAATGGGATTTGACTAGAAGTGAAGGGAGTTGACTGTCATGATTTCATGTGTAGGGCTAAAGTGTGCAAAGTGTAGGGATGCAAAGTGTAATTTACTCGGTTATTTACACTACAACAATTTGCACCTTCGGCAACTAAATTTGGCGACTAAAACTTTTTTTAGTCGCTAAAAGTCTGACCTTTACCGACTAATTTTTCTATTGGTCGGCAATATTTTTCATTTTAGCTACTAAAATTTTTTAGTAGCCATATATTAGTTATTGGCGACTAAAAACAAATTTGGTCACTAAAAATCATGTAAATAGGCAACTACAAAAGTTTTAGTCGGCGTTTGTTTATGTTTTAGACTACTAATTCTGGTTTTAGTCAACGTACGCGGCCTTTTGCCAACCAAAAAAATTTTAGTTACCAAAAGATGGGCTTATTTTATTGGATACAACAAAAGTAATCTATAGTGATGAAAAGTAATGAAGAAAATAAATTTCGTCACTGAATTAGAATAATCCGTGACAAATTATAAAATTTTGTCACGTATAAAAATAAATAAAAATAATAGGTGACGAAATTTATTTTCATCAGTAAATATTTCTTTTTAGGTGAGGGAAAATTAAATTTCATTACCGAAGGTTTTCTTGCTAATTTTTTTTGGTGGCGCCAAAATTTTGAGACTTTTGGTGAGAAAAAAATTTGTCACCCATCATAAAATTATTAGTGAGGAATATATTTTCGTCACTAATAATTTACATATATATATATATATTTTTGAAAAACTTGATTTTAAATATTTTAAAACCATTTTGTGAAAAATATATTTTCAAACTAATAATTTTTAATATTTTTGAGACCTTTTGGTGAAGAAATATTGTCACTAATTTTGGAGGAAGAATTTTGATATATTGGCCGGTAATGGAATTTTTTTCCCCTCTTTTTGTGTTTATCAGTTTTCCCCTCGTCTCTCTCTCAAACTAGAAAACAAAACACAAGTTGGCTCTCTTCGTTTAACAGCCCTTGTCCTCCTCCAGCGTGTTCTCCTCTAGCGCCGCCACCGACGTTTCCCGTTCTCCTCCTTCCGTGCCGCCGCCTACGTGGCATCTCTGAGCTCGTCCGTCCTTCTCGTTCAGTGCCGCGTGTTCTCTTCCATCAGCACCTTTTATTATTTGATTTCCCTATTTTTCTATTTTCACGTATGGTCCTCTCTTTCAAATATATATGCTTTGTTTTTGTTTTTGTTATATTTTGTGCTTTGAGGTATCAGACATCTACTAGGGCTCTGTTTGTTTAGATGGAAAACTAAAATGTTGCCTGTTAATTAGGTAAATTGTCGTAAACAGATATTTCTCCCTCAATCTATTGAATAGGCGTGGCAATGGTCTGTTTGGCATTATCCTTAAGAACTGATTCTGTTTTCAATGATAAAAAATACTATGGCGTGGAAAAAAAATATTTTTCCTGGCATTTTGGGAGACTGTTTTCCAAATGATTTCTTAAAAAACGAGGCATCTTATTTGCTCAAACTGTAAAAAGAATGATTTTTCTAATTTGCAAGTATATACAAATAAGCATTGTAGGCTGGATAGAGTTTTTGATTAGGTGATTTGAATTAGAGCAAACTATTTTTTGAACATGATCCTTCATAGGATTTTTTAGTATTTTTCTTTTCTATTGTTGGTTCTTGTAGGATTATGTAGGTATCCCCCTCTTTTTTTTGTGTGTGTTATTATTTACATAATAACATACCTATAGCTTGAGAACATTTCAAGGAATTTTTGGCATGCTTAGAGACCATATTGTTAGAAGGCATCTTAATCTCTATGATAGAAACAGTTGGAAGATTTTGTAGGTATCCCATTTTTTTAAATCTTATTATTTACATAATAACACAAATGTGCTTGAGAACATTTCAAGGAATTTGTGGCACATTTAGGGAAGATATTGTTAGAATCTATTCCATCTTAACCTTTCTGGTAGAGACACTTGCAATAATTTGGAAAGATAAACTTAAATTATTGAGTCTGAATTGTTTGAAAAAGAGGAGTGTTGGAAGGAGGTTTATGCAAAACTGATTGAAGCCACAATCAGTAATTTGATTTCACATCTTATAGTGGATGACTGGATGGTATGGCCACGGAAAAGGAAGTAACTATATGACAGGATTCACTGAGAGAACCAAATAGTTGGAAGAACTCAATACTCATGTTGGATTCTGGCAACAATGAATAGTATTTCGAAAGGTGTGTAAAGTATCTTGTCTCCCATACTTCTATTTTCCATATATAACCCTCCCTTTTGTAATTGCATTCACATTTTCCTTCTGATATAATCATTTTTTGGAATTCCAATTATCGTTTTCAGTTTTACCCATGCCTGGGATTGTGCTTGACTCTTCTAAATGAGCTCACCCAATGTCCTTAATACCCGTGGCTAGCCCATACTTTCTAACTGCTAGTTGACTATTACAAAGATTTCTCCCTAGGACAAACAAATAAGAACTTGTTGGATGTGGGGCATTCTATTTATTTAATTATGTTATTGTAATTCCTTCATGTTCTTTTATTGTTCTTTCTCTTGATGTCAAGCGTGTTATCTATTCAACTTGATGAATAACGTGGGTGATTTATAATTTAGTTTCCTTGTTAACACATTTTATCTTGTGCATGTGTGGCTCCCCGTGCATCATATAATATAATTGTGTCATTAGTTTAACGTTAAAGTAGTTTAAAGCTATAACACTTGGCTTTTGTTTTTTGTTTTTTTTTTTTTAAATTATATCTGCTGGTAAGAGTTTGGATACATTGTCAATATTATTTGATATGGATATTATGAATTCCTAAACCAAGCTTCTTTCAACATGATATATTGATCTCCATGTTTTCCGGAATTTTAAGCTAGTTATTCTATGACATAGTGATCAATTACTGTGCATTATTTTTAAATGGGAAAATAGATTATATATATTTATATATCCCCAATGCCCCATTCGTAAGTGGATTGTATATTGTTTGTAAATTTTCTGCAAAATGTTTAATTGGCATATATCATGTCGTCACAGGATTTTCTGCTAATAAGCAGATACCACATGGCCAAATTTCTTTAGTTTAACTTGATTGAGAGATCTTGTCTTATTTTTCAATATCATGGTCTTATTAGTTAATTCATTAGTTAATTCATGGATGCTACTTTTTGAAGACATGACTTAACTGAGATTGCTGCTGGAAGAAAAAAAAAAAAAAAAAAAGCAGAGGAATTAAGCCTAGTTTACTTTAAGACGCACCAAATGATAATTAGTTATAAATAATAACATAGGTGTTTGTCAAAAATGTGAAAGCATTGTTTTTTTTCCCATTTTCTTTTGTACTAATCATTTTTATGGTTATAAATTTGATTTGCAACAGAGCAGAGGTTGTCTTGGATGCTGTACTAAGCCCCCTTTGATAATTGCTGCTGACAAGCCATCCAAGAGACTGAGAATTCGAGGCCGAACAGTCAAGAAATCAAGCATTTCAGAGGATTTTTGGAGCACTAGCACTTGTGAGATGGACAATAGTATTGTTCAGTCCCAGAGAAGTGGATCATCAATGAGCACATCAAATCCACCCTTAGATCCCCACAACAGTGCTGGAAGCACAAGTAATCCTACTGAATTTGTAAATCATGGCAAATTCAAAAAATAAGTTAATTCTTTCTATTGTTAACTGCTTACCAGAATGGTTGCTTGCATTCCATATAATATCAATCAACGTGTTGCTTAGCCATTGTTTCTGACAAATCACCTCTACTCATCCTCTTAAGATATCTTCTAGGCCCCAAAACTGTGAACTAGATGATTATCAATCTTTATTTAGATTAGTGGTGGTTCTTTGGATAGATGTATGGTTGGAAGCACTATTTTTTTTTTCTTCTATATTTGGTCTGTGGACTCTGGAGTCTGGGCATTTGATCAAATTTTGAAAATGCCCCAATATCCATGCTATTTTGATTCAAGAAGCATGTAGTAACTTCCACAATACATGTTTTATATTACTGATCTGTTAAGTTAAATGCTTTGCATCTCCCCTAGGCCACAAAGAGCTTTTAAGGGCACTCTCATATGAGACTTCTCCAGTAGTGTGCTTCTTTGTCTACTAAATTTAATCCTTTGTTTATCCAGGTCTTGTTCTTTGGATTCAGACAAGACATCAATGGATTGGAAATAAAAGGTCTCAAAACCGTACATAAGTTCCCAAACCCAAACTAAGGTGTTTTACTTCACCTTTCTTATATTTATGTGAAGTGCAAACTTGTCATCTTCATTTATAGTTCCTTGAAGCTTCTCTTCTTGTTTCTCATTGCAATGTGGCTTGATCATCATTTATGATGTTATCACAGGTTTTATTGGTTCGTGATATCTATATTTACATGATTATGTTTTTAGTGTTTAGAATTAATGTTTTCCCAAATTTTTCGAAACTAATGAGATACGCAGTGTCCTATATGTGATTTCTTTGGATTGTATTTTGTATTTAAAGGAGGAAATTACAGCACAGAAACATGAAATTCAAGCACAAAAAGAGGAAATTCAAGCACAAAATAATGTGATAGTGAAGATGAATGACTCGAGTGAGGAGCATTTGGAGATGACGTCAAGCATCATGGAGTTTCTTAAGAAACAAGGTTTCAACAGACAATTTAGGGGAGGAGGCATCCCATGAACTCGTAGATCGCCTTTTTGGTAAGTCTATCTTGCTTTAGTTTTTCATTTTTCTCATGTTGGTTAGTATATATTGGTTGAAGCACAACTGTTTAAGAAAGTTACACTGTCAAACTCAATTAGGCTACCTTTTACCAATAAGGAACCTATGTGGCAATCCCTCTTGCATTAACAACATAGCCAGATCAACACTTGCTGAAGGGTCTAAAATCAAGAGAAACTTTGCAACATTGTTTAATTGCTAGTACAAACATTGAAACACTGAAAATGATCATAAGATAGGATACTGAAATGCTTAGTTTTATATTGTTTATGTCGATCTATCCTAGTTCGAATTTTGTGAAATTGAAAACCCATTAAAAACAATCAAACCATATCAGTAATTCTCATTTCTTTCAAAACAAAGTTGGAGAAGCAGTGAGTGAGATAGTGAAGTTGTATCAAAGGGACATCGACTGGTAGATAGTGAAATTTGTAAAGAAAACTGGAGTCAGTACAAGAGAGATCCAAGTTTTATTGAACCATTCTATATGACAATAAAAGTCATCATGTTGCTTGATCGTTTTCAATATTGGCAGGTTCATAGGTGTTCATTTAACTTGCAAGAACTTGCCCCCAATTAGATTAGCTGTTGTTTTGTGATTTAGTACAGATGAAAGTCAAGATTCGGTAGAAAATGCATTTTTGCTAAATTGGTTTACTCATACATAAAATTATTTATATATGAGTTTAGATGTAACTGATAATATATTAATGTTTTCCTTTTTTATTTTCTTCGCAGATTGATTTTTGATGACATTTGGAAGCAAACTTGCAAATCAAGATCAAGTGTTAATTTTTTTTTGTGGACTGATACTTAGTTCTACTTGCAACTCAAGATCAAGTGTTGATTTTTTTGTGGACTGATACTTAGTTCATTTTGGGATTTGCTGTGATTTGGTCTTTGTTATAGTTAAGGAATTGTTATTAAATTTGTTTGATGGATATATTTTGATTTATAATATAATTGTTTAGCGAATTTTTTGTGTGGAGCGGTGTATAGTAGTTAGTGGATTTCTTTGTACATTTAGAAGGTTATTGGGATATGAGCAAGGGTATTTGTAAAATAATAATTTAAATTGAAATATAAAATATGGAACAAGTTTAGTGACGGATTTTTTCGTCATATGTACTTGTTATTATGACAACGTGATTATTCGTCGCTAATAAATATTTTTGTGACAAAATTTATTGTTGCTTATATGTGAGTTTTCATTGATTTTGTTGTTTGGTGACTAAAAATTTCGTCACGTATATATATTTTTGCCACGAAATACATTTCGTCACCCATGTCTGACTTTTGGAGTCGAAAAATTTCATCAACTTTACATCTTACCATGACAATTATTTCCTCATCAATGATCAGTATGTGTGACAAATTTATTCGTCAACTAAAGTTATATACACGGTACTAAATAACTATTTGGTGACGAAAATGACGATTTTTTGTGATAAAATGTTGTCTTATACGACAAAATTTTTCGTCACTAAAGTAATTTCATTAGTGGTGGAATTATTTTTCCTCACGGCGATTTTTAGTGACAAATATTCAATGACAAAATCGGTGACGAAAATATTTCTTCACAAATAGCTATAGTGACAAAGTTACCTCTTTGGAGACAAAAAAAAATCATCATTCAAGACCCAATTTCTTGTAGTGATTACTCTCTGCCATCCAAAACTTTAGTAGGGAAATATAAACAATCAATGACAAACAATTTAGTCGTTGTACAGTTAGTGTTTTTCGACAAAAAGAATACTTAGTAGCCAAATTAGATAAATATTGAGTTATATTTGTCGACAAAACAAAATTTAGTCACTAAAGGTCAAAAGAAAAAAAAATTTGAGGGAAGCGTATGAATATTGGCGCCCTTCCCAATTTATTTCACACAGATCTTTTGTATCTATTCTGTCTTACAAACACACAGACCACTCACCACAAACCTGACGCCTGCTCACCGCCGACTGTCATTACCTCACCGTCGCTGGCCACCGTCGGTCCCCACTATTGCACATCGCCACCATAACTGCCGAAATCACCACCACTACTATCGCAAATAATAGGTTTTTCTCTCTCTCTCTCTCCCCCTCTCTTTCTCTCTCTTGCCATCTCTCTGGTTCCCTTTCTCTCTCTCTTTCCTCCTTCCCCTATTTTCTATTTCTCACATTTCACCTAGGGTTTATATGATTTTTTTAGTTTAATTTTGTGTTGATTTCGTAAATGGGTTTGGTTGAAGTGTTTGATTTCCATGAAATTATGATATTCTTCATGTCCAAAATAGATTTGATTTTAGTTTTATGGGTTTGACATAGAAGAAATTTATAAGATTCAAATCAATAATCAATGAACAATCTCAAAATTTTTGCTACAGGACTGTGTCATTGATCAAAACCAAAAAGTGAATGTTCTGTTGACTTTTGTGTTGTTGGTTTTTAGCTAGTTACAGTCCATCATTAAAGTTATGAATCAGTGTAAAACAATGTGACAATTTTCTCTACGAAATTTAGGTTAGCATCATCCTGCAAACCCTCTAGTTGAATAAATTGGTCATCGAGGTATCCCTACAATGCCACATAATTTTACATGCCTTTAGACACATTATAGAGTTGTAGCACTTGCACCCTTTTTAAAACTTTTAGGAAGTGTATTTGAATCATTATTATGTTTTGGAAAACCTTAGGTGTTGTTATGGGTTGGTTTTGGAGGAGTATAATCCGAATTAAACTTGTTGGGTTTGGTTGTTCGCGCTTATTCTTGTCAAAAGTTCCTTGGAGACTTAGAAATTCCATCCTAGGGTTGACACCAGCCTTCCTAAGGTCGACCCTTACCTATTGGTGAAGTTCTGGAGGAGTTGCTGGAAAATAGGGTAGACACCAGACTGGGAAAGGGTCGACCCTCTTCTGTCTGTGTGTTGGTTGCTGGAACATAGGGTAGACACCAGTCTAGGGTAGGGTCGACACCAGCAGAGCAGTCAAGCTTAGTTTTCCCAGATTTTCCCTCTTTGGTGTCGACACCACTGTTGCAGGGGTCAACCCCTGCAAATTTTTTTTTCAGATTTTAGTCCAACTTTTGGCCCTACTTTTTGGGGGTTTTGACTTGATATTTTGGGTTGACTTTAGGACTTATTTCTAATTTTACCTAGTGCTATAAGTAGGCCCTCACTTGACCCTTTTCTTTATTTTCTTTCTCTCTTTTCTCCATCTAAACCGTGGGTCTCTCTCTCTCTCTCTCCAAAACCGCTTTTTGCTCAAAAGTCTTTAGATCTACTCTCTTGGAAGCATCTTCTTGCCTTACTGCTTTGAGAAAGATTGTAGAACTCGTCAAGAGCTTCGTTTTGATCCTAGTAGAAGTTGGTTTCGACAACTTTGGGGTTTCAACCTTTTTGCTCATCTTCTCTTTCAAGCTTGAGGTTGGGACATTCTTGAGTTATATATACAAGTTTTGCTACCTTTATGTTGGTTTTAAGAGTTTGTATATAGTTCCTTGTTGATTTCAATCTTATGTTTTCAAAATGTAGAGATGTTTTAAATGTGGGTTGTATCCCAACACTTTTACAAATCCTATAAGGTTTTCCTTTGAGTTATATATATATATATATATATATGAAGTTTTTAGTTGATCTTGTAACTCTCCTTGAGAAATTTCAAATACGGGTTTGGTGGCTCAAAGGATTGATTGTTTTTGTAAAACAAACTCTACCTTGTGTACATTTAGAGATTTTCTTGAAATTTTAGACAACTTGAGCCGAGATTGAAGTGTGTGGTGAGATTTTATAAAAGAGATGAACAATGTTAGGTTTTTGTAAAAAATCTAGAAATTGGGTTTTTTTTTTGAAAACATGAGGAAAACTATGAAATTTTCTTTTCTTGCGTTAAACAAGTAAATGAGTGTGGATTTCACATTATTATATAAAGAAATGATAATTTTCATGATATAAGAGAATGGAGGACTTATTTTTAAACTATTGTTGAATGTATGGAAATATTTAAGTGGAAGATGATAATTGTTGTGCATTATGGATTATGAAAATTAATGTTTGAAAAACATTACATGTAGTCCATCGCATGTAGTCTTGAAGAGACTAACTTGTTAGAAATTGTGCATGATGAGAAAACGTTGTTACTATGAGTTGATGGGATATAAGCTATCTTGTGAAAGAACATTGAAGAGAAGAAATGAGAAATGTGGATGTTGGCATTGTTGTAGAAATATTTGACAAATAGAGAAATGTTGTGAGGCATGGAGAAATCATGATATTGCATACTCATTTAATTTAAATTAATGTTATGCATTGTAACCTTGGATTGAAGATATTTGTTTCATGAACAAAAAAGGGGGGGGGCTTGTAATAACAATAACGGTGATATGTATGTGGTAAATACGTGGTAAGTCCGAATAGGGGGTGTAGTTGAACTTGATAAGTTGGCTTGAGTGTCCATGGTGAAAGACCAGAAAATCGCGCGAATAGGTATCGAACCTTCCGGTTAATACCGATAAAAATGACAGTTTGGTAGTACTCGTAGAGTCTACTTACAAACACCAGCCTAGGGATTACCAGTGTCATATTTACCGCCCCTATTGATTAAAATTGGAAGTTTTTGAAATGTGTTAAGATTGCAAGCTTTTGTTAAAAAAAAATGGAAATCTTTAAGAAAAGCATGAAATGAAATTTCTTTAAAAGAGCATGGCTATGCATTGGCATATGCATTATTTTTATTAAGAATTGCATAATTGTATATACTTTGTTAGAATTCTCTACTTGGCTTTATGCTCACCCCTATGGGATTTTGGTGCAGGCAAAGACGTGGTGATCCCGCCAAGTTGAGGGCACGGATAATTGTAAAGAGTACATAGCTCTTATTTTGTTGTGATCTTTTTGTAAAGCCAAGGGCTAATGTGTATGGGTCCGAGAGACCATTTTGTGTAACCGGGCTATCGCCTTGGAAGATGTAAGCCCTTAAGGGCATTTTAATTGTTTTTGAGATTAGATGCTTCGCATGTTATAGATTTATGTATTCGTTATGTTGTGAATGTGAATTGCAAACGAACCTTTTGTATTTAATCCTTTTATTATATATGTGATGTTGGAGGGATTATTGTCATTGATTAGTGAATGTTCATTAGTGTGGGTAGTTCATGTTAAAATATTTCGAGGCGTTGCAACTTGGTATCAGAGCTACCGGGTTTGAATACTTGGGGCTCGCGGGAAGTGGTTGTTATACCACAATGGGTTCATTTCGCATGATTAGGAAATGTTTTGTCTATGTGATTATGTGATAACATGCTTATGTGACTATGTGGGTATGGGATTAGACTTTTGGGATGTTATTTGCGCCTACTAGATTCCTTGAGGTCTTATTAGAAGGGTACCTGATCAATACTTCTTCTACTAAGAATTCTTGGTTTCTCGTGGGACGAATCGCATCACTAAAGGATAATTCGTATGTGCTTGTGTGACTACGTGCTTATGTGGAGTGAATTGGATTGCTTATGTGCTAGAATATATATAATTGTATTAGTTTTATGTGTGAGGCGAGTTGCGAGTACATTTAGAATTATGTACTAATTTATCTATCCTGTTTCTTAATTAGGATGTCAGGAAGGGTTCAAGTCGTGGTGGTGAGAGTGTGTGCCTCGGGGAGGCTGTTGCGTCGTGCACTTAGTTGATTTTGTAGGCTGTCTACAAGAGGAAATAGAGGACGAATGGGTAATAGGAGTGCCGATAGGGGCATGGCGGTCCCCTTAGCACATGTCGTTACAACATCGGTTGTCGGCGAGGAAGTTGCACGCGTGGTTGTGAGAGCGGTGCAAGATGCTCTAGCTCGCAATGAGGGGGACAACGGGCGTACCCTCAAGCTTATTAAGGAGTTTCTTTGCTCCAATCCATCGGAGTTTTTGGGAGATGCAAGACCACTGGAGGTGGAGAGTTGGTTGGAACAGATTACCAAAACTCTTGACATGCTCAGAGTCGAGGATGAGGGGTTGAGGGTTTCTTTGGCAACCTTCCTATTGCAGGAGAAATGTGAGTTATTAGTGGAAGTATGTGGAGTGTACCGTAGGTGTCACTTGGGTTGCGTTTACCGAGG